TATTTAATATATTTAATATATTATTTATTTAATATATTTAATAATATTATTTATTTAATATATTATTACATGTTTTCAAAAATTAAACCACCAAACGCAGTTTCAGTTTTTTTTAAAACTGAAATCAATCTCTAAATAAAACTACCAAACGCATTTTTAGAAATAATTCAAAAATGAAACTAAAAACGTTTTCATTTTCATTTTCGTACAGAAAATAAAAACGTTTTGGAACCAATTCCAAACGCACCCTAAGAAATTGAAAGAGTCTTAAATAAATAAAAGAAAAAACAAAAAGGAACATTGAATTAATTAAGTAAAAAAAAAACTATTCTCTTTAATTACACCTTTTTTACTTATTTAGTATGAATATATAGTTGTAAATTAAATTTGTTTATATAACTCCTCAAAGAAAATAAATATGTACAAACCCTTTCTTTCCCTTTTGTTGTGTTTTTTTCTTAAACAATCACTTAGGTATATTATGTCTTTATTATAATAGTAAAAAATGATACCTTAAAAATGTCATAAAAATGATTTTTAATACCCTTTTTAAATGACTTATTATATATCTCTTAAAAATGCCATACTTATGTCATAAAAATGTCCTGTTGACGGAAATTGTTTTAAATGAATTTTTTAGACCCTTTTCTCCTCTTTATTTATTTTCTTCGCTTAAAGTTTCAATTTTTTCTAAAAAAAATATAAGTGCTGTTGTGCTAGTTCTATAAGACAAATTTAAAAGTGAGAGAAAAAAAATAAAATGAGTTCTTTTGATAGTATTATAAAACATAAATTATTAATAATTTTTTATTTTTAACAATTAAATTTGTATTATGAATTAAAAATTAACACTATTGATAAAAATTAACAGTTAGATTCATATTATAAAATATTATAAATGGTCAGCTATAGTTAAAAGCTAACACTGTTAATAAAATTGACGTAGTAGAAAAATTCTTTGAAAAAAAAAAGTCTTGGAGGCAAAGTAGACTAGACCGTAGCGTTGGACCTCGTACGATTGGAAGATAGGACAGATAAATTATGCTACGTTTATTTTATTAATTTGAGTTTAAAAATTTACATTGTTACAGTAAAAAAATTTTAAAAATAGTCATATTTAATTTTTTTATTATAATAAAAAAATTTTATATAAAATCACATTTCAACTTAAATTAAAATTTTAAATCAATGAATTAAATGAGACTTTAATATATACAGCTAGATCGAATCGGAAACCAGCTGCCAGGGTAGTCAAACTTCAAAGATGTCTGTCAAACTCAAAGTCAAAACTACCCTTTAACCTACACAGACGTGGAGTGACTCTGAGAAGGGCGGTAATGTCTTCCAAATAACGTTAGCCAATGAGGAAATTCTCCACCGTTTTCCTCGTTGATTAATTGCCCAAATTTTTTTTGTTTACCTTTTCGCGTTTGCCAGCCAAAACCAAGCATAAAAAATGAGAATATACCCCAAAATCATAAATGCTTCCTTCCTCGAACTCCGTCTCTCTCTCTCTCTCCCTCTTTGTCTTTTTCCTTCAAAATCCCAACAAACTTGCTTGCGTCCCAAGTCGTCCCCTTATTTTCCTTTTATTCTCTTTCTTATTAAATTAATAATTAAAACATTTAACACACACTTACATACACACACATATATATATACACACACATACGCTCACATACATGTGTCTTATTTATTGGTGAATCTCAACGCCATTTTTGTTGCACAAAGTACTTCTCCGCAACTTTTGGACATAAGCGCTCACTGTTCCAAAGCTTGAATCTTCAGACCGAGAAAAACTTTCTTCTTCCTCAAAAGTAATGTTCCCGAACCTTCTGCTTTGCAAAAAATCACCATTTTTTATATTTCTCTTCCTTTTTTTTTGGTATCTTCATGGCTAATATTGAATCGAATGCTTCTAAACCGTTCTCTCTCTCTCTCTCTCTCTCTTAATAAAAAGGCTTTCTTTTTCGATGTAAACAAGAATGCTCTTTTTTCCTAGGCTCAAACAAATCAAGCAAGTTAATGCCAATCTTCTTCTCCATTCTTCTGTGTAAATTTTTCTCTCTGTAACTTCGGAATATAGTTTTAAATCTGCTGTTTTTTTTTTTTTTTGGCAATTTCTGTTTGTGTTTTGTGTGAGTTTTTTGAGCTTTTGGCCTCACAGGAAAATACTTGTTTAGTCAAATAATGTTTTCCTTGTTCTTGTTTGTCTCACTAACGCCATTTAATGTGTTTGCTAATGCATGAATTACTTTCCAATTTTAGTGTTTTGATTCCTTTCTCACTGAAATTTTCAAGGAGCTTTCTCCTTGTATCTGCCATTAGTCGATGAACAAAGCAAAGCAAATCAAATTATGTTTCTCAAAAAAGAGAAAAATAAAAACATAAAGATTTAGGCTGCTTTGTTTGGACCATATCTGTTCTTGTCCTGCCCTAATGTCATTGTCTCTCTCCGAAGTTTTTGGAAATTGGAATTCTCATTTGCTTTATTTATACAAAATTATTCCAATCCTCGATCTTCCTTTCTATATAGTTGTACTGATTCACATTTTTCGATTCTCTCAACAGCTTCAACGAGTTCGATTTCGATTGGAACATAAGGTCGTAAAAGGTTTCAACTCTTCTTTCAAGAACTAGTACCCTCAACATGGCTTTGGCAAGAGTAAGTAGAAGTACCTTGAGAAGATCAGAAGTCACCGTTAACAACATGTTCAATGAAGTACCAACCAAACACAACTTTTCCACACCCTCCCTTGCAAACGCCACTAGAGATGGCAATTTTTCTTACCTTTCTGGCATTAGAAAGGCGAATAATGCGAGTTTATTTAGTAGAGGAATAAGTGTTGTCCCACATTACCAATCTCCTGTTGCCGAGAGGATTATTGACGAATCGGATGCGGAGTGTGAGGAGACGAGGTATCCAGGACTAGAAGCAACCAGGCCAAGCGAAAAACCGAGGGTGGTTGTCCTTGGAACCGGCTGGGCTGCTTGTCGATTCCTCAAGGGACTGGACACAAAGATTTATGATGTCGTCTGTATATCGCCTAGGAATCATATGGTCTTCACTCCTTTGCTTGCTTCAACTTGTGTGGGGACCTTGGAGTTCCGATCAGTGGCTGAACCCGTTAGTCGAATTCAGTCTGCGCTGGCGTCGAATCCCGGTTCATATTTTTACTTAGCCACCTGTAATGGCATTGATACAGACAAACATGAGGTGAGTGAGTTTTCTTTTCCTCTTTCTTTTAAGAAAAAAGATGTGCAGTGTAGTTTAGCTAGAGAAATAATATACTGGAAACGAGAAGTTAAGAGGAGTTATTTTATGTAGTTGTATTGTGAGACGGTTGCCAACGGTGGATTACCTCATGAGCCTTACAGATTCAGAGTTGCTTATGACAAGCTTGTTATAGCTGCTGGAGCTGAGCCCTTGACATTTGGTATCAAGGGTGTGAAGGAACACGCCTTTTTCCTTCGTGAGGTTAATCATGCTCAAGAGATCAGGAAGAAGCTCCTCTTGAACTTGATGCTCTCTGAAAATCCAGGTAAGTTTGTCATCTACAAGAAAATTGTGTCTCCCTTTTGTTCTCCTAGACAATAAATCACATAGAAATTTGCTAAAATCGTTCAAGTCTAGTTCGCTAATGAAACAGATTTTGTTGTCACGTTAATGTGTTGACATTGAATTGTTATTGCAGGAATATCAATGGAAGAAAGGAAACGCCTTCTACATTGTGTTGTCATTGGTGGTGGTCCTACTGGTGTGGAGTTCAGTGGTGAATTGAGTGATTTTATCATGAGAGATGTTTGTGAAAGTTATTCCCATGTCAAGGACGACATCCAAGTGACCCTTATTGAGGTAACTTTCTTTGAGTTTTTAAACTTTTATGTTTCATTCAATTAGTCCTTTAAAGAAGATCAACTATGAGGTTCCTCAACTATTTATTGTTGAACAGGCAAATGAGATCTTGTCTTCCTTTGATGTGGGGCTAAGGCAATATGCAACGAACCATTTAACAAAAGTAAGTTGGTATTATGTTGCTTAATCTGTTAATGACTTTTATTAACTTTCTCCGGATTTAGTATGACATTCTGAATCTTTCATCAGTCTGGTGTTCGCCTAATGCGTGGTGTTGTGAAAGAAGTGCATGCCAAAAAGATAGTTCTCAATGACGGAACTGATGTTCCTTACGGCCTCTTGGTGTGGTCCACAGGTGTTGGACCGTCAGACTTTGTGAAATCACTCCATCTTCCCAAGTCTGCTGGTGGAAGGTATTTATGCATCCCCATAACAACACTTTCTAGTTATCTTACTGCATTACAATCTTCTATTTTGTTCTTCATTTCGTGAAAAAGTTTCATAAACATCATGATAGAATTCTATAGGATATTTAAAACTGAAATGTCTGTTTTATCGCGACTATTTTACCCTTAACAACTTGTATTTTACTTTCATTATAAGTCATGAAACTAGTTTTTCAAGATGACTGATTATGAGTTGTTGAGTGATGCAGGATTGGTGTGGATGAGTGGCTGCGGGTTCCTTCCGTAGAAGATGTGTTTGCACTAGGAGACTGCGCCGGTTTTCTTGAACAGACAGGAAGGCCAGTTCTTCCAGCCTTGGCTCAGGTTAGGATTCTTCATCCTTTTCTTCAAGCTCTACATTGTTCTAAATACATGTCCTAAATGCTCAAGAGACACAGACGTATTTCAAGACGTGTTATATTACAATCCAAGTTCCTGAGATAACCAGTTTAACATTTTTTTGTTTTTCCTTTCAATCTGAATAGGTTGCGGAACGACAGGGAAAGTATCTGGTGGAGTCGTTTAACAAGATTGGGAAGCAGAACGGAGGCAAGGCTTTCAGCGCAAAAGACGTCCCTTTTGGAGAGCCTTTTGTGTACAAGCACCTAGGAAGTATGGCCTCAGTTGGCAGCTACAAGGCTCTTGTTGATTTACGACAGTCCAAGGTAAATTTATCTGATACATCTCAATTATGCAGCCCAAATCTCAGCGACTAAACGATTGAATGAAAACCTCTCAGCTATTGGAAAAACAAAATAACAATTAACAGTTTTCACTGAAAAAAATTTGACAGTTTATTTCATCATTCAACGACTGAAATTAGACTGCTCGATGTATGTTCTTTGATACGTATATTCAGAGTGTGATAACAAGTTTGTGTTGGCAGGACTCTAAGGGTATATCACTTGCTGGGTTCGTTAGCTGGCTGATTTGGCGCTCCGCCTATCTGACACGCGTCGTAAGCTGGAGGAACAGGTTTTACGTAGCGGTTAACTGGGCGACCACGCTTGTGTTTGGCAGAGATAACTCCAGAATTGGTTGAACAACACTACTGCAGCCATTGACGATTGTTATATTGATTCGAAGCTATGCACTGCAGTTACTGAAGTTTTGAATTTTGATATCTTCGTTTGTTATTTAATTCAAATATTGATATGGGGTAACTAGTGAGTCCTGGAAAATGGGAAGTAGGAATTTAAGAAGAGCAATTCAGGTGAGTGCATTGGGCGCACCAACCACAACTGAACCTTAACTAATGTACTTAGCACCAGAAAAAATAAAAAAACAAAAAAATACTTGGTAGTGAATGTAATAGCTCGATTTATGATCTTTAACACCAGTCTTAAGGCTTGTTTACTTTGTAGTGACATAAGTTCCTCCTTGCAACTCGTGAATTAAGAATTCTTACAACAACAAAATACTTGACAAGAGATGTTAAAGGCCTGTTTGTTTTTGTTTTCGTTTTCATTTTTCACGTTTTTTAAAGCTAAAAAATAAAAACACCATCTAAAAACGTGTTTGGCACAAAATTTTTCAAAAAACAAAAACAAAAGCGTTTTTGTCTTTCTGTGAAAAACTGAAAACGAAAAAAAGTCATTTTCTCGTTTTCGTTTTCTCTTCTGAAAACGGTTTTCATAAAGGCCTGTTTGTTTTTGTTTTCGTTTTCATTTTTCACGTTTTTTAAAGCTAAAAAATAAAAACACCATCTAAAAACGTGTTTGGCACAAAATTTTTCAAAAAACAAAAACAAAAGCGTTTTTGTCTTTCTGTGAAAAACTGAAAACGAAAAAAAGTCATTTTCTCGTTTTCGTTTTCTCTTCTGAAAACGGTTTTCATTTTTTTTTTTCTTCTCTCTTCTCTTCTCCGCTGCCCACCACCCCCGACAGCACCCCCCTCTCCCACTCCGACATCAACACCGACTGAAGGAGATGAAGGACGCCGGAGATGAAGGACGACAGAGAGAGACGTCGCCGGAGATTCCCTCGCTCGATGGCTATCGTCAGTCGTCGGACGCCGCCGCCGTCACTACGCCCACGTGAACACCGCCATCAACACCGGCTGAAGGAGATGAAGGATGG